CTGAGTCCACACTGACCCTTCCAAAGAGATCCCATCCAGAGTCACTCCATCCTGTAACCCTACGTTTCCCATGGCCAATCCACCTAACCTACACATCCCTGGACGCGATAGGCAATTTCGGATTTTAGCATGACCAACCTATCTAACCTGCACATATCTGTACTCTGGGAGGAAACCAGAGCACCCAGAGGAAACCCACACAGATGTGGGAGAATGTGCAAACTCCACACAGACAGTCACCCAAGGGTGGAACTGAACCCAAGCCTCTGGTGCTGTCAGGGAGCAGTGCTCTGAGCCACCAGTATGCTGGCACTGTTATTAGATCCAATGTCCCTGAGCTATGAAATGGGAAAAACAAACTAGGTTTCCTGGTGTATTGCTGATCCAATACTACAAACATACAAGGAGCAAGTGTAGCTGTTCAGTCCTTTAGGCCTGCTCTGCCATTCAATGAGATCATGGCTGCCTGATTTTGGCCTGAGCTTCACATTAATCCCTTGCCCTTTGACTCCCTTATTGGTAAGGGATCTAGTGACCTCTTCCTAAAAATAAATTCCATGACTGTGCTCACTGGGGAAGAGAGTTCTAAAGACTCATGGCACTTGAGGGAGAAAAGATTTCTCCTCACCTTCATCTTAAATGGAAAACCCGTTATTGTTAAATCATGCCCCATGGTTCTAGTCTCTCCCAGAAGGAGAAATCCTTTCATCTCAAGATCTTAAATTTCTAAACAAAATCATCTCTTAGTCTTCTAACCTCCAAATGAGAAGAAGCCCAGACTATCCAAACCTTTCTCATGAGATAAATCATATCTCCTATCTTCGGTATCAGTGAGAGAACATTCTTTGAAAAGCTTCTAATGTATTTATATCCTTCATTAAATAAGGAGATCAAAACTGTACACAGTACTTCAGATGTGGTCTCTTTTAAAGACCTGTGTACAACTGTTGTAAAATATCCTAACATATTTAATTTCCTTGCAATAAGCAACAACTTTCCACCTGCCTTACTAATCACTTGCTATACCTGCATAAAAACATTTGTGGACATTGTTGGTTAGGCCAACGATTATTGACCATCACTAACTGCCCTTAAGAGTATGGTGGTGATCTTCCTTCTTGAGCCATTGTAATCCATGTGGTGTGGGCATACCCACAGTGCTGCTTTGGAGCAAATTCCAGGAATTTGACCTTGCAACAGTGAAGGAACAATGGAACAGTTCTAAGTCAGGATGATGTGTGGCTTGGAGAGTAATAAGGAAACAGTAGCTTTCCCATGCATCAGCTGACCTTGTTTTTCTAAGTGGTAGAGTCATGGGATTAGAAGGTGCTATCTAAGGAACTTTGATGAATTGTTGCAGTGCAGTTTGTAATTGGTGGACAGTCTTTGGAGAGACAAGAAGTGAGATACTTGCTGCAGAATTCCTAGCCTCTGACTTGCTCTTGTAGAAACAGTGTTTACATGGCTGGCAATATTCAGTTTCTGGTCAATGGTAACTCCAAGGAATTGATGTGGCGGGAGATGCAGTGATGATAATGTTATTGTATGTAAGGCCAATGGTTGTCATTTTTCTTGTTAGAGATAGTCATTGCCTGGCTGTTGTGAGATGCAAATGTTATTTGCCACTATTCAGCACAAGTCTGAATGTTACCCAGATCTTGCTGCTTACAGATACAAACTGTTTCAGTATCTGCAGAGCTGCGAATGGTGTTGAGCATTTTGCAATCATCGGCGAACATCCCCACTTCTGACCTTATGATGGTAGGAAGGTCATTGATGAAGCAGCTGAAGATGGTTGGGCCTAAGACACAACCCTGAGGAATTCTGGCAGGAATGTCCTGGAGCTGAGATGTTTAACGTCCAATGACCACAACCATTGTCCTTTGTGCTAGGTATGACTCCAACCAGCAGAACGTTTTCCCTGATTCCCATTGACTCATATTTTGCTAGGACTCCTTGACACCAAACTCAGTCAATTACTACCTTAATGTCAATGCATCACCTTCACTTTCTTACTTGAGCTCAGATATTTTGTCCACGTTTGGATCAAAGCTTTCATGAGCTCAACAGCTGAGTGGGCCTGGAGCAAGCAACCCAAATTGGGCTCATTAAGAAACTTATTGTTAAGTAAGTGCCACTTGATAGACTTGTTGACATCACCTTCAATCACTCTACTGATGATTATGTTGGAATGGTAATTGGCCAGATTGGATTTGTTTATTGTGGATAGGACATACTTGGGAAGTTTTCCACGTTGCTGGATAGATGCCAATGTTGTAACTGCACTGGAACAGCTTGCCTAGGGGAAAGGCTAGTTTGGAGGAAAGCCTTCAGGAGTATTGCTAGAATGTTGCAATATCCAATGCCTTCAGCCAGTTCTTGATATCACATGGAGTGAAGCAAATTGGTTGAAGGCAGGCATCCCTGATGCTTGGCATCTCAGGAGACGCCAAGATGAATTAGCACTTCACTCCATTGGCTAAATTTGCTTGCAAATACTTCAGCCTTGCTAATTGTACTGAAACCTGGTTCCACCTGCACTGAAAATGGGGATATTTGTGGAGCCTCTTCCACGAGTGAGTTGTCCAATTGTCCTCCACCGATCTGAACTGGACGTGAACGGATTGCTGAGTTTAGATTTGATCCATCAGTTGCGAGATTGCTTGCTTAGCTGTGCCTATTACATACTGTTTACATTGCTTGCTTAGCAGCATTTTTTTTTAGGTATGCCTGATGCTGTTTCTGACTTGCCCACCATTATGTGATTCACGCACTAGCACACCCAGATCCCTGTGCACCATACAGTTCTGCAATATCTCTACATTCAAATAATATGCTATGTTTCTATCCTTCCTACCAAAGCGGACAAGTTCAAATTTTCTTACATTGTACACCATATAGCAAATGTTTACCCCAACCTAAACTATCACCCTTTGAAGGCTACATTTGTCCTTGTAACAGCTGAATTTCTTACCTAACTCTGTGTCATCAGCAAATTTAACAATCATACATTTAGTTCCTTTATCCAATTAATTAATATAATTTGTAAATATTTGAGGCCCCAACACCGATCTGCTTCATGGGAAGCTCCACTCGTCACATTACGCAAACCTAAAAAGGATCCACCTCTTCTGCTCGCTGTTGCTGTTAGCGAGCTTATTTTTATTCACACTATTATGTTATCTCATGCCATGAATAATCTTTGATGTGGCAATTCTGGAAATCTGAGTACAGCACATGTACAGATTCCTCTTTACCCAAATCATTTACTATTTCCTTAAAAAATTACAGGGAGTTGGTCAAGCATAATTTCTCTTTCACAAAACCATGTTGAATCTGCCTGATTAAACTGACATTTTCTAAGTGCCCGACTCTATCCTCCTTAATAAAAATTCCAGCATTCTCCTTATGACAGTTACAATGTTGTCTGGCCTGGAGTTGCTGTTCTTGCTCGCTGTTTCTTCCTCTTGGTGGGAGGAGTTATGTTTCCCATTTTCCAAACTGATGGACCTTTCCAGAATCTACAGAATTCTGCAAAATTAAAATTGATGCATCTACAACCTCAGCAGCCAATTATTTTAAGGATTAAGTCTGTCAGCATCTAGTGCCTTGACAGTTTTCAATTCTAATAATTTTCTCAGAACTGTTTCCCTCGTGAATGCAATTGTTTTAAGATACATACTGAAACGGGACATATTGGATAACCTGGAGACAACAAGGTCAAACTGTCAGGCCCCACCTAAAGCAGAAATTAACCATCAGGGATCCCATGTCAAATTCAGTAAAAAAAAAGTGTCATCTGTGCCATGTCTGTTCTGTGCAATATTTTTGGCACTATGTTGATCTAATTGATGGTACTTAAGATGATTGTTGCCGCCACCTAAGAACAGTGAAGCCTTCATTTCTCCACTTACTGGAATATGGCACCAGGAGGAACAGGGAGGGCTCCACAATGAGACTGAAGCCTCTTGCTGTTATTACGCAGAATAGACATCTAGCTCAATTTCCAGTGAGCCTTGAGTTTTTAAAGCATCTTCAAGCATCTATTATGGTGGACCTCCCACTCACACTGATTCCTAGCACAATAAAAATTTCTTATCCTATATTTCAAAGTCATGCATTTTCAAACTTTGTCAGAAGGCTTTGAAACACCAGGTGGAGGCAATGACCACATATGTTATACTAATGGTAATAATTAGAACTATAATATTTACAACAAATATATATTGATAAAAATTATTGCTACCCTTTACTTATACAATCGGTGTATTTATGTTTCGTAAGAAATGGAATACAGAAATCTCTTGTTATTCTACTATTTAAGGTAACATTTTCAGGAAATAAAACCCAAAGCATAAAAATCCTTATAAGTTGAAGTAAAAATTAAACAGGTTACAGCTGCTTTGGAGTTTTGTGATTCTTGTTACTGTTTATTGCATTTTTGTGCTATGAAGTAGCTTTCTTGCTAATGTAGTGAATAAAAGATGTGTAGAAATAAACTGTGTAAACATTTATTGGTTCTTTATTGATATCATCTCGAACAAAGAACCAGTGAAGAGTACTTCTTTCTATTCTCTGTGTCAGCATCTATTCAATAGCACTGCATGCTTTTGCTTTCTGACAGCAAGACTTACTAATTATAGTCCTTGAACTGTCTGACTGTAAACTCCAGTTGGTTACTCCATCAACTTTTTGTTGCATTGCGCTGCTGGCAGTTTTAGAATAGATATTTAAACCTAAGTTACAATTAATAAAGCTAAGCACCGTCAAATATGTTGAGTCATGAGAGTTTTTCATTTAAAAACAATTTTTCTGCTTGGGAAACACGCCCATTGGCTATTTTGCATCTAAGGAAACTCATGGGGACACATTCAGAACACCATTTGCTTTATATGTTAGTTACTGAACAGATAGAGAGGTTAGTACTTCTGCCAATGTCATCTCCCAATGATGCAATATCAGCCATATCATAGAACTAATTCTACTGCATATCTAATTTGTTAATATTCTATCGTGCCAACCATTACAATAGGGTCTTCAAATGTAGCGAGTAATATCTTCTCTGGTGAACGCGTAGGTAAATCTGTTGCATCTGCAGAGGAAGTGACTCTTGCATTTAGAAAGCTGGAGGAAAATGCTTCATCCTCGCGATCTTCATAAAGTGCTGGGATGTTCTGGATGTTGATTAAGGGGTGAGTAGGGTTGCGGTTGAACTGGGCCTTTGTTTCACAGACATCCTTTTCTAGATTGGATGGAACTGTTACAGTTGGCAAGTTGTTTGTGTAGTTGGTAGTATAGGCTTTACTGATGGGGAGAGTTAGGCAGCTCTCTGATGAATATTTAATATTGCTTGTAGCACCTCCTTCAGACAGATTACTATCTATGAGAAATAACTTGTTAGAGTTCAGATAGTCATGAAAAGCAAACATAAAATGTCAACATTAATATTGCTTTAAACTATTGCAATCTGCAGTTAAATAACCAAAAACTGTAAGTTCATACTGTTAATATTGTAAATGACTATTTCGACTCTTATTTCAAATTATAGAGGAATAACATACACTTCTTTTACTTACATCACTTGGAGTTTACGGTTAACAGTGTTAAGAGCCAAAGTTGAAGGATTTAATGGACTCCAGAACAGTAATTTTCCCTACTGACATGGCTTTCAAACTACTGCTGCCTACAAATAACCTGTGGCCACCAGGAATATTGCAGCCATCAAGAAGGGTGAGCAGCCCATCAGAATTAAGAATTCACATGGGCATCACACCAGGGATTAAAAACAATGCAGATACAAAATCTAGATTGGGACATTCACATTAAATTAAGATAGAAATTGAAATAGCATAAGGCACTTCATAACTAGCTTTATCTGAAAAACTTTGCGATCATACTCCAAGGAACAGCATTCACAATGCAGCATTCCACAGCGCTCACATTGTTTGAAGGAAAAGATGCATTGTGATTTTTAGGAGTACAATATCAATAACAATGACAGTTGGCAATTATTTTATCACCCACCAACCTTAATTGGCCTTTCACTCAAAAATCAAACAGGCTTCTGACAACATTCCATAGCAGTGGGGTCAAGAACTGGAAATTATTCTGAGGCTGGGGACTTGATCCAAAAATGAAAATCCATCATATGATTCTCTTGCTCTCCTTCTTTCATTTCTCCTTCACATTTCTTGCCTTCACCCTGCACCTTTACATTATTTTCATTTTTCCTTTCTTTTCCACTTTATTTACCTCTGGTTTAATCTCTTTCTCCCACTGATTGTCCGTAGCAGTTTTACTTTCCCTTTAAACAGGCCACAAATTGGAAGGGAGCATTCTAGGTGGCTGAAAGAATCCAAAGAGTCAGAGGAACAGGGAAGGAACGAGAAGTATTGAAGGGAAGTAAGTGGGAATCACTGAAGTAATAAAAATAACAAGAGAGAGAAAAGCTTCTGTTCTTACATAGAGAAGCACATGGCTGTGAAGGAGTGCTGACAGTGCTCAGGAGCACACTACTCTATGGACAGACAACTTTTGTCTTTTGCACACTGACTGGGGCCAAGGTCACACTGCAGTTCCTGAGAACTCTAACCCTATTGATCAGAAGGTGATATCCATGCACGTACCTTTACTTGTTTACAATGTTTCTTATAAGAGTGGCAGGGTTCTAAAGTCTGTCTGAGGTTAGGAATGGACATAGATGGGGTTTGAAGTTCTGGCTGACTAAATGGTTTTCTGATGCAGTTCTGTCTATGTTTTAGAAGGTGTGTTTGAGGTTTGAATTTTAATGTTTTGAAATTGTTAATAAGAAGGAAAGTGTTACTTACATGCCACCACAGCCTGCTATTTCTCTCAAGTTGGAAAGCCACTGAATCTCCCTCAAACTTTGACAGCCTGCCCTGTTCCCTGACCTAACCTTAAGTGTCCATCCAAATTAAGGGAATGCTTCTGTGGAAATCGCAAAAAGAGAGTGTTTTTCCCTAATGGTGAGTTCAGGACAAAGGAACAATCTCCATTTCTGTTTTCTGACCCCTGAGGGACCAGCCCCAGGTCGCTGGGTGTGATACTCACTTAATTAGGTGGAGACTTTGTAATACAGCAGAAGTCTGAACAGTCAGTAGCCTAAACGGTGTAAGATAACACAGTGTGGAGCTGCAGGAACACAGCAGGCCAAGCAGCATCAGAGGAGCAGGAAAGCTGACGTTTCGGGCCTAGACCCTTCTTCAGAAATTAAGAAGATGTAGGGTGTGTTGTGTTTCATATAGAAAGGATAAGAGGAGTTTGGAGTCAAGTTTCTAGGTACATTTCTGATTCTTCTGCATGTTTTATAGATGTCTGCTATCTCAAACACTTTATTTTAAGACATTTATAATGGAATAGGTGAAGACCCACTCAGAGGCTTCTTATTTTTGATAGAATCTGGTTGGGTAGTAATCTTTGGCTGGAATGTGACTGTAAAAAAATTGTAAGTGCTAAGGCGTTTTACATAATGTAATCAGCAATTAACATAAATCGAAGATAATTCAAATGGAATGTTGAAAATGAAGGGAAGCAAAATACATAATGGAAAAAAGGAAAACTTACAGATGATACAGATTATGAAATAGTGCTCAGAGCACTGATACTAATCAACAAAAAGAAGCAATTTTAATATGAAAAACTGTCTGACAAAAATGACATTTTAATGAGAAAATACACATTTCAGCAAATGAAGCATACAGGTTTTTCTGTTTGGATGGCAAACATGTAAAATTTACCCACAACCAGATTTTGTCATGTTGCAACTTCCCTTGTATTGCACACATATTGAAGATTATGTTTGAGTTTTGCTGAAAAAGAGACATACTGCTGAAGCTTGGTGTCTTGCACTCATCAGGAGAAATGCAAAGCTATCAAGTTTTAACGGAAAGAGTAAACATGTACTGCAAGCACAAAAGGATGCTGAATCATTGGGAAGTGGAGTCTGGTTGGTCAAAGTGCTGACAAGGAGAATGCACCAGGAACAATTATCCCCCAAGCTTTTGTTTAAATTCAAGAAGGGCTAATCAGCCCTGGTTCATTGAAGCACAGCCATGGGGAACCCATGAGGGAATAGATAATGGTGCAATGGCTGGACATGTTCTTTCTGTTTGCATATGAATTTATATAGCTTCCAAACAGCACAAATGAGCCACAATGTGAGCCTGACAGATAATGTTAAATTAATCTTGATGATGCAAGACACAGAGCTTTGATAGCACGTTTTTTTTGATAAAATTCAATTCTGTACAACTAACAGTTTTATATTTGTTAACTATCGACTCCAAACTAACCCTTAAATGTAGAATGCCATTGGGTTCAATGTGCAACAAGAAAAAATATTTTTCAAATAATTGTATTACTTCAAGAATGAATGGGAATCTCTATTAGTGCAAGTTTGGAATCTATGTCATTTTTTTATCTCTGCAATTGCTAATGCAGACATTGTTCATCCAAGTGGGTCAGTTTGATCTCATTATTCCCTTTAAATTCCGCCGCCAAAAATATCTTTTGCCACAACTACCTGCAGAGTATATTTTGTGGCCTGTTCTCTGACTGCAAACCTCTTAATTAAAACCTTACTCAAAACGGACCTAGCGACTTATGGCGTATAAAATAATATAGTTCAAATATGCATAATGTCAGTCTGCAGAAACTGCAACTGCATTTAAAATAAACATTATCTCCGCTTATCCATTCCTTTAAGACGATTTGATTAATGAATTTTCAGTAAATTCACACTTCACCTTTGATAGGAGATGGTACATGTGTCAACATGTTCTCCTCTGAGTGTAAGAAGTTCCCATCCTGACTCTTCGAAGTGCAAGTTTCCTGATGTGGCCTGGTCTTTTTGCTGGTCACAATGCACGGATGAACATCCAAAGACAAGTGCCGACTGTGCTTTTTCTCACTATTAATAGTTGTGTTCCCTTCGCTTTTACTGGAAGATGAATCTTGAAAATATTTCGAAGTCGAGTCCAGGAGAGGAGCGGCGAGACCGTCCGTCGCTGTTTTTCGCCTTGCGGGTTTGGGTTTCTCCCCCTTGTTGTTTTCCAACTTGAAGGCACTGGAGGGCTCTCTGAAAGGCTGGTGCAGTGGGTTGGTGGTTGGGATCCATTTCATTTTCTTCCGGGGCCTCTTTATGATGAGCTGCTCGTTGCTGTCGATGTCTGCGGGGTCCACACTGGGGTCAATGGTTTGGATGCCGGCATCGCGCATGGTGGGAGTGACATCGTGGTTGGATTGGGCCAGAGCGGCCAGCAGCTGGCGCACCACGTTGTCGTACATCAGGTCACTCTCGTTGGTGATGAAGTCCAAACGGTTCAGCGACTTGATGTGGTCGCGGTTTTCGTTGCAGAACAGGGCGAGGATGTTGATGTCGCAGAATTGCGACTTCTGCCACTGCTTCTTTGTCTTGATGCCGACCTTGTGAAGCTTGTCGAAGATGAAGTTGGACTTCCTGACGATGAAAAGGTGGATGAGGTTGATCAGAATGATCAGGTTGATGAAGCACAGCAGCACAATGTCCACGATGGCGATGATGCGCTGCATTTGCACCGAAGGCAGCTTGCAATTGACATGGACATGGAGTGCCTCACTGCTGGACAGGTCAGGGGGCTCTCCCAAAGGGCAAGTGAATTCGTTCTGTTTCTGGTTGGCGTAGTACGTGCACAGGTAACTGATTGGGATGATACTGAGGAACACCACCGACAGCTGCCGCGACAGGTAGAGCCTGGCCAAGAAGTTACTCTGGCCTCGCCGCTCCAGGTATTTCTCGAACAGGTTCTGCTCCGGGCTTTTCTCCTTCTCCGCGTTCTCAATGATCTCCCTTTTCTCCTTCTCCGTGATGCCCGCCCCTTTCGATTGGATCTGCTTCTCGATTTTGGGAGCCCTCCCCTCCGCGGCGCGGTGGTAGCAGTTGTCTATCTCCTGAAGCAGGAAGTTGAGCTCCGAGGTCAGTCTGGTGGAGGCCAGGAACTCCCAGCCCAGGGCTGGGATATACATGATACCGGCGAAGGCGAGCAGCGCGTATGGGAGGAACTTGTGCTCAAACAGGGATGGCCGCTGACTCGGCTCCACACCCGGCACAGCATCTCTCAGCTCGGTCCAGCAGTATCCTCTGGCGTATAACGCCTGGTCACGGGTGAAATTGTTGGGCGTATAACAGTATATCGACTCTTCTGTATAACAGAGAGAAAAGTCACGGTTGTTTTTTTTTTAAATCCTGTCAATGGTGCTCTGTAAATTAAACATTTTAAATAACTCCATCAATTGTATTACATTTCATTTTCCAAATGTTGACATCTGCCTTGAAGTCCCAATCCTTAATTTGTTCTACTCAATTCCGTCAATCACACACATCTCGTTTCCCTTCTGTTGCATTCCTGCCAGGTTTTACTGTTTTGAATTGTCTTAAGGAAGCACGTAAACCTAATCTTCTGAAAAAGAACTTTTTTCCTCTCTATTCGAAACTGCATAAATACCAAATTATGTCTTGGGGCAACTCGTGAATCCTAGTTGGCTTTGATTGTGGGGAAGGTGCTGATAGTTCTGACAGTGTAGGTGATATTTACAACATCTACTGATCCTGCTGAGTTTTTGGGCCACATTAGGGTAGCTTCATGGATGGGCAGGCAGTGCATATGTAGGTGCCACTGGTTTTCTGACACCACCCTAGCATTGTGGCTGGGAGTGAGGGTGATGCAGGGTTACCCTCCTGAAAGTGTTGGAGAGAGAGTGCAGCACCATTGATCTCATTAAAGGCCTTGTCTCAGAGACTGACTCAAATATTCCAGTTAGCCTCCAGGTCCCTGGACGTGTCTGGGGAAGAGTTCAGATGCCAGGAGGAGGTGACATCCTGATGCCAGTGTGGGAACTAGCCCTCCAGACAGGCTATAGACACTGCCAGGGCTGAGTGGCAGCCATCAACCACCCTTTGCAGGGCATTGCTGTCTCCCTTTCCCAAACAATGGTAGCCTGACTCCTGAGGACATTTGTTAAATTTAAAGTGTTGGAGAGAGAGTGCAGCACCATCTTGGAGTACATTCTCTCTCGCTTACCTGGAAAGGCAAGTATTGGCTTTGTAAATACTGGGGGGATTCCTGTTGATCTCCCAACTTCAAGAGCCTATGAACCATCTGGATGGTAAGTCCAGCCTCTAGGCACAAATTGACCAAGAAAATCACCATGTAAGCTCCTGACCCCTATTTGACCATGACAGCAGTTTCCAGAGCCCTAGAACAGAGAGAATGTAGCACAGTGGTCAAGTTTCTGATTGTAACCTCTCCTCTGAAGAATAACTAATGTTAAAAAATTATTTATGAATAACTTCTTCAATTGTTGGGGAAATGTGATGGTCTTTTAACACTACAGCTATGCAAATTTCAATATTTAATCTTAGTCTCTACATTTCACTCGTACAAAATTTCACAAGTGGTTATGAAATATTCTTATTCAACAACTATGCAATGCTTCAACTGATTTTCACTGTAGCTTACAGGAGGCAGACTGCTGTAGTACAAAGTGACCCATAGTTATAGCTAGTACATTTTCCAGAGTTAAGATACTTTTTAATGAGGCTAAATTTAAATTAAGCTAGCGACAACCTGGAAAGCCTCCAGTTGATTGTCAGCAGGATATTTAAATTAGAGTTCAGGCGCAAAGAGGCTCCTACTCTGGAGGCAGCAAGACTTAGACTTCTTCTGGGGAAAAAGAAACAGATGTAATGAAAAATGGTCACCTAACTTTCGCGCCTAAGCTCCAAACCAACCTTATAAAGACCGCAGGAGATCTCTCTGCATGCATCAGTCATAGAATTTAACATCATGGTTATGCTTAAACAAAATTATTTTAAATTAGCCGATCTGCATAGTTTTGAATCCTCTTCAGAGATTGGTTTGAAGCAAGAAAATAATCACAACTATATCAGTTAGAAACTTCAACATTCAGATTACAAATTTACTAGAACTGTATGATATTCAATTGTCAATAGTACCTAGCTTGAGTGTTAGTTCAGTATTTGACTGTACCGTAAGAAGTGTAATAAACTGACTTGAATGGCAGGATGCTTTGCTTTTGGCATTGTAGTGTCATTTAATCTTGAAATTATTTTTTAACCTGGGCCATTTGAGATTTGATGAACTTCATGCCTCATTATTTCCTTATGTTGCAAGAGCCAATGTTTGTACAGTGCATATTGAATTCAACTTTTTAAATAAAAATAAATAATGATAAGCCACCAGTAATACCTGGCTGCAAATTTTGTGAGTGTTCAAGTCAATGGTTATTTTCATTCCATCGGGATGATGCAAGTACTATTACTAACGAAAAGAAAAGTAGGAATACATGGTTTACGTGCCACCAAATAAAGTTAATATTGTGAACCATGTTTTCATGCAATTTAATATTTGAATGAATTTTATAAAATCCAATCCTATGTGTTGGAAATGAAAGCTACATAATGGAATTGTCTAATGATTTTTAACATGTAGTTTCAGTTACTTGTGGTGAGCAGTGCATTCAGATGACTTTTTTTGCTTCTTTCAGAGGGTTTCAGCTTCACTGGCCAGGCAACATTTATTACCTAATTGCTGTGGATCTGGAGTTATATTGGGCCCCACCAGGCAAGGTCAGCTGATTTCTTTTCCAAATTTCAATGAACCAGTTGGGTGTTCGCATCATTCAAGACCCCAAAAGTGGAGACTAGTATATTCCAGATTTATTTATTTAATTCAAATTCCACTGGCTATCATAGTGGGATTTCAACACATCTGGATCACTAGTCCATTTTGACATTGTAGTCCATTTAACGCTGCAGCACCACCTCCCTGCCTGAGCTACCAAAAGACATGTAGTAAAATGAGCCATTAAGAAAGAACCATTTGGCACAAATTGAATCAGTTTTTATTCTCTCATTAATAAAGTCTTGGTTTAGGCTAACTTATCCTAAGTCTATTTATTCCAGGTTTTATCAGAGGATAACTGACATTGTATAAACAAATTAGTGGACATAGGATTTGTGCTAATGTGGTTCATTCACAATTAAGAAGGACAACCGAGCACTATGAAGCAAAGTTGCACAGTTCCATTATAATGTGTCGCACAATGTTAGGATGAACATTCGTTATTTATTTGTGTAAATTATTGATCTCAGCATTAACATTCTGAGAGACCAGTCATTTTCACTTGAGGAGTAGATGAGGCAATGGCCTAGTGGTATTTTTGCTAGACCATTAATCCGGAAACTCAGCTAATATTCTGGGGAGCTGGGTTTGAATGCCACCACGGCAGTTAGTGTTTAGGTCAATAAAAATGATCTGGAATTAAGAACCTACTGATGAATATGAGCCATCGTCAGTTTTTAGAAAAACCCATCTGGCTCATTGATGTCCTTCAGGGAAGGAAATCTGCCACCCTCATCTTCTCTGGTCTACATGTGTCTCCAGACCCACAGCAATGTGATTGACTCTCAACTGCCTTCTGAAATGGCCTAGTGAGCTCCACTCAGTTGTATCAATTGCTATGACATCTCAACAAAGAAATGCACCACCCAGCATTGTCATAAGCATCGGAAAAGACAATGGCAAACACAGTCCTGCCAATGCTGCAAAGTCCTCCTTACTAACATCTGTAGGCTAGTGCCAAAATTGAGGGAGCTGTCTCAAATACTTGTCAAGCAACAGTCTGATGTAGTCATACTCGCAGAATTGTACCTGAAAGACAATGTCCGAGATATCACCATCACCATCTCTGAATATATCCTGTTCCACCAGTAGGACAGACCAGCAGGGGTGGCCGTACAATGATATACAGTTGGGAAGGACTTGCCTTGGGAGTCCTCAACACTTATTCCGGACCCCATGAAGTCTCATGGCTTCAGGTTAAGCATGGCAAGGAAACCTCCCTCTAGTTACCACATACCATGAATCAGTACCCCTTAATGTGGAATAATACTTGGAGGAAGCAATGAGGGTGGCAACGTCATAAAATGTACTCTGGGTGGGTGATTTCAACGGTCACCTCCAAGAGTGGCTTGGCAGCAGCACTAATGATCGAGCTGGTCAAGTCCTAATGGATGTAGCTGGATAGGCTGGGTCTGTGGCAGGTGGTGAGGGATCCAACAAGAGAGGAAAACGTACTTGACCACATATTTATCAATCTGTCGGCAACAGATGTATCTGTCCATGACAGGATGTGGAAGAGTGATCACCATACAGTTCTTGTGAAGATGAAGTCTGCCTTCACGTTGTGAATACCTTCCATCGTGTAGTGTGGCACTATCACCGTGGTAAATGGAACAGGCTTTGAACCGATCTAGCACTTCAAGGGTGGGCATCCATGTGGCGCTGTGGACCATCAACAGCGGCAAAATTGTACTCCAGCACAATCTGTAACCTCACAGCCAGCATATCCCCCATTCAACCATTAGCATCAAGCCAGGGCATCAATCCTGCCTCAACAGAGAGTTCAGGAGGGCATGCCAGGAGCAGCACCAGGCATACCTACAAATGAGGTGTCAACCTGGTGAAGCTACCAAATAGGAATACTTGCATGCTAAACAGCATAAGCAGCAAGTGATAAACAGAACTAAACAAACCCATAACCAACAGATCAGATCTGGGTTCTGCAGTCCTGCCACATCCAGTCACAAATGGTGGTGGACATTTAAACAATCCATTGAAGGAGGCACTTCTGCAAATATCCCCATCTTCCATGATGGAAGAGTTCAATGTATCAGTGCAAAAGATAAGGCTGAGAAGTTTGTGGCAGTCTTCAGCTGGAAGAGCCAAGTGGATGAACTACCTCAGTCTCCTCCTGTGATCCCCAGCATCACGGGTACCAGTCTTCAGCCAATTTGATTCAATCCACATAGAGTCATAAGAGGTGAACTGTATGGAAACAGACCCTTTGGTCTAACTTGTCCATGCTGACCAGATATCCTAAATTAACATAGTCTCATTTGGCTCGTAAACCTCTATTGCTTTCCTGTTCATATACCCATGCAGATGACTTTTAAGTGTTGTAATTGTACCAGCCTCCACTACTTCCTCTGGCAGTTCATTCCATACACACACCACCTGCTGCATGAAAAAGCTTTGGTCCCTTTTAAAGCTTTCCTCTCTCACCTTAAATCTGTGCCCTCTAGATTTGGACTACCCTACCCTGGGAAAAAGACCTTGGC